TCATAAGCAAAGCAATAGGGTGGGGTGTAGTCACGGGGTGTTGCCCCGTTATAGTCTTTTGTCATGTCCGAGGAGCAAATTTTTAGGGCCGCGCAGGCCCCCCGCTGGACGCTTTAGTTTACTCGAATATGCAAAGTGATTTACCGGTCACATTATTTATTTGATTACGCACTTTAGTAAATCGCTAGACTGAAATGGACCATCGCCGCCGGCAGACCAAGCAGGCCCGGCCTCTGCCGAACGGAGTTGCCGGCGCAGCGAAGTGAAGCTGGCAACTCCATGGTTGCCACAAAATTTTCATTTCCATTTTCCCTGAGTTTTCCCTGATTTCCAGACCCATTCTCCCTAAATTTCCCTGAGATTTAAGCACCATTCCCGGCGAAGTGCAGGAACAAACAAATAACCCCACATGCAAGCATTAAGCGTACTTGCCAGAAGTCCTTAGTCTCATGTAGAAAACGACCGCGAGCGAAGCGAGCGCTAAAAATTTTGGGTCAAAAACACCTAGCTTGGACGTCAAAATGTGTGTTGGACCTAAATGGCGAATAGAATGCAGTTTGCGGACCGATCAGAACAAATTTCCCTGACATTTTTTCATTTTCCCTGAGTTTTCCCTGATTTCCCTGACTGTTTTTTATTTCCCTGAGTTTTCCAGGTTTTCAAGGTTTTCCAGAGTTGTGGCAACCATGAACTCCGTTTGGCGGAAGGGCGGGCCTGCTTGTTATAGGCTGAACATCGTTGGTTGTGTGGGCCGCAGTTAGTAGAATACATGCAAGTTATGTCAAATCCCTGGTAAGTTATTGATGTTAGCTTATGGATCCAATTACACACCTACGAAAAGAAACATAGGAATGGACCCATAAGAAGTTAAATATACGTCCAGGCATACTCTGAATGATTACGAACGTGTCCGAACAACGAAATAAGTGTTTGTTTTTCTTTCTTATGCATGGGAGTGTACACATTTTATTAATAATGTGCCACCATAAAATAAGCCCACTCTTCTGCTTAGAAGAAACTTTTAAACCGACGGCATACTTCTCAGACAAAAGTCTACTCCTGAAAAAGATAAAAACATTTCTGTTTTGACCATTTTGGCAAGAAAAACTCCCGCTTGTAAGTTGACAGTAACAGCCAGACGGACGACATTCTATCCCAGAGGGTTCATCTTTCACGATTTACCCCTTAGAGACCATTAAATACTTTCTACAAATGATGTATTTATTTTTAGGCCAGTTTTGTGAGTAAAAGTCCCTCTATCGCCTAAACGATGAGAGGTAGAGCCAAACGGGCGAAATTTTAGCCCGAAGAACATTTGTTACACAAGTTACCCCTTAGGAGACCATAACAAAAATATTTTTTTCTTACTTCTTGGACCAACCGCTATTTCTTTGTTACCCCCTCATACCCACTCAGGGGTGATTGCCAGGATTTGCACTAACCGTTTCGTTATCCAGAAGTGACAGCAATATCACTGTAAAATAATCCATCTTAATTTTAATAACACGTGTTTTGAAGCAGTTTACAAAACGAATTGGCTCTTAAATTTAAGAACATAAAGTTTCTTAAAATTCAAAACATGTTTTAAAAATTAAGAACGTGTTATGAAACGCCAAAAATGCTTTTCTTTTCCAACCTTACGCAAATCTGGAAAATATTTAGATTCATTCCCCTAGCGGCAGATGTTTACACACCCAACTTCCCACATATTAAAGATGTTTACCTTACCTTCCCTGGGTGGATTCGAACCTCGGATCTTTGGGTTCGGATCCTGACGCCGTAGACCGCGTGGCTGTCGGGACATACCTGTGAGGGGAGCGCTCGCAACCGACCTTATGCGGCGCTCCGTCCAGGGGCATTCCCAGAGTAGCTATGTGCTTGGTCGGACGGCGTATGTTTGTTCACTTGCTTTTTTGAAATATGGCAGTGGCATAGCTACATTACGCCGAACTAAATTCGATGTTGTTCACCCAATACTATATTGAACGCCAAAATTCCATGTCCAGTGGTCAAAAGCTACATGACTCTTAAGAAGTGTTCTGAATGCTGGTATTAAAAGTAAGAATGGGTGTGACTTTTCAACACAATTTTGTCAAAACTAAGGAAAACTTTTGAATTTAATAAACTTGTTATGAAATTTAATGACCCCTTAGTACAATTGAGATTTTCATCATTGTTTGCAAAATTTAGAAAACTTCTTAAATGTCATAATCTGTAATTACGTTTAAGAACAACTGATAATGTTACTAAATTTAAGAGATATTTTGCTCTAAAATTTCAGAATATTTTTTACAGTGATACCCTGTAAATTTCAGACCTCTAACTCACGTCCTTGTTGGGAAACGGACAGACGACGAACGGACGGACAGACAGACCGATGGGGCCGATGGGGCGGGACACAGGGGCGATGGCATAAGCCCGCTTATATAGCTTTTAAGAAAAAAACGGGCTAAAAATGTACAACCCTGCATGCTCAGTCGAGGTGATAGGCCGTTGACGGGCCAGAAGGTACTCCGGGGCTTGGCTAGACCGGAAGGAGAAGAACAAAAATCGTCGGGAGCGGGGCAGGGCGGGGGCAGTACCCCGTTCCTCCCCGCGCCCGACCGGCCCGACGATTCTCCTTCCGGTTTTAAATTACAGAGCCTTTTTTGATAAGTAACTATAGAAACAAAGACAGCACGTATCACCATCTCATTCCCATCCCCCAGACTACGACTGTATGAGGTTCGGGAAAAGTACAGTACTAAATGAAGTACAATATGATGAAAGTAGTACCATCAGTATCGATTTTTCTGATTGTGCTGCTTACAATCGTGCGGGTAGGAATCTGTGCGGACACTCAAAAGTACGCTGATAAAACCGAGGTAGGACAGGAAAGGTCTTCATGTTTCTTGAAAGCCATTAAAAGTTAGTATCCCTGTAAAGTATTCAAAATGTCAAAAGGTGTAAAACTTTAGTGCCTTTGGAAACTTTTGTACTGCGAAGGCGAAGGCATTAAAATTTTACACCCCCTGAAAGGCACTAAGACCTAACTTTGTTTTTCCAGTGAGTCTGCAACACAGCGTTTTACAAACTTTACTTCAAAACAGCCCTAAACACAGAATTCTGACATCGCTATGGCTGATGTATAGCTTCCTTTAAGATACGAATTCTTGCCAACATCTGGGAATTGACAAACCCATGAGGAATCGCTAACAGATTCTGCCACAACAATGAAAAACAAGTTAGGTTAGACACAGCAATAGCTCCATTAGATCATTCACTACATTTGTTTATGAGGGTGTGAACGGTGTGAACACGTACGAACCCACAATTGTAGCATTCAATGCTATCATGACTACAACACAGAATTTTCTAGACTTTACTCCAAAACAAACAAAAACATACGAAGCTGAGCTCGTGGTAGTACGGACAAAGCTTTCTCTGAGATTTATTGTGTGATTGCGAATTAGGCCGAACCGTAGATAAGCTAACATCTGGGGATTGGCAAACACATGAGGAACCGCTAAGAGTTACTGCCAAAACAATGTAAAACAAGTTAGGCTAGACACAGCAATAGCTCCATTAGACAATTCACTACATTTGTTTATGAGGGTGTGAACACGTACGAACCTACAATTGTAGCATACTGAGCTATATTGACTACAACACAGTATTTTCCAGACTTTACACCGAAACAAATAAAAACATGTGAAGCTGAACTCGTGGTAGCACGGACAAAGCTTTCTCTGAGATGTTTTGTGTTGCTGCGAATGGGGCCGAACCCTAGATTAGCTAACACCTGGGGATTGGCAAATGCATGACGACTCGCCGACAGCTTGTGCCAAAACAGTGTTAAACAAACGACAATAGAGACAGCAAAAGCTCGATAAGACCATTTACTACGTCTGTTTATGAGGATGTGAATATGTACGAACCCGGAAAAGTAGAGGAATTAGCCAAATAGCCTATTTTAAGGAGATCGCAAAAGTCAGCTAAAAAACATTTAAAAACGATTGAAATTAAGTCGGCAGGGCAATTCGATGGTTTTTCAGGTGTTACAGGCTGGCTGTGCCTGTGCTGTAGTTGCAAGTGGGTCCGGCCAGCTTCCACTCCAACACTTGACTCCCTAATAACAGGAGAATGTTTGTGTTTGGAACCAAAACATTTGAAAACACGACTAAACAAACCCTAAACAATCCATTGAGCGGTAGACGGGACGGTTGGTGAATGCTGTTTGGGTCTCGCCATCTTCACCGAGGTATGCCAGGCGTGTCGCAGCGTAACAGTCTTTCGTGAGATATTGCGAAGTGTGTTACGCGAGACGTGATCTGGCGTCCATCTACCTTGTTTATTTTCACTTTGGGGTTCTGCCTGCATTAGGGTAAGTTGTTGTAAGAGTATAGCCTTTTAGGCGAATATTTAATACTAACTCGTTTCACCCAGGTGGGCATAACAGTCGACAAACTGGGTCAGTTCACTGGCTTGAGACTTACTACTCGCTGACGGGATACTGAGACGGATGATACCGTGACAGGCAGCCATTCGTGCCCAGGAAACTCGGCTTTCGTGCAAACCGACCTTTCCGCTGAAGCCAGAGCATAGCTGACTGACCTTGAAGAACAATCAACTCATCAGCACTCCACGGAAGAAGGTTTTTTTTACGTTGCATTCTTTGCGCAGTGATTTCTTCTACAATGCCTGTGACTAGTATGACTTTTAGAGATTTCAGAGCGAGCAGGCCAGTTCGAATTTGAGCGAACTTGAACAAAATTTGTCTGGGACCCAACCGAACGAGCCTTTGCTCACCGGCGCATCGAACACGAAGAATGATTTAAATCAATCTGATGCGGTATACGCAATGTTCTCTCTGCAGAGTGCTGAACACACAATGATCTATCTGCAAAACGTGGGTTTCGGGACACCTACAAAGAAATGCTTATTACTCCGTAACCGCTCGTTCTACTTCACTTTTTGCAGTCACAAACTAGCTACATGTACGATACACTACGTCTCGCGTAACAGGCTTCGCAATATGTCACGAAACACTCTTACGCTTCGACGCGCCTGGCGCACATATAGCTAGGCCTGCAGGTGGCGCACACACCCGAAACGAGTTAATGTGAGGGTATTCGGGAACAGTGCGTTCCGGCCCCAAAATTTGACATACTCACAGCATTTGCAGGAGACTCATTTCCCTAAAATTAGGGAAATGAAACTTCTACTGTTCGTTAAAGGTTTTCATTTAAAGTTAGAGTTTGGTTGTCGTGTAAAAATCAACGTTTTAGTCTAGACAATCTAGGGACCCTTGAGCCTAAAGGAGGGTGTGGTTCGACGTCCACTGTAAGGTTTTAGTATTACGTCCCGCACAATTCTGCAATGTAAGGCATTTTTTTAACGATTTACTAGACAATTTGGTCAATTTCACCTTATTTTCGTCAAGAAATGCCTCCTAGCACCCAAACAGTACGAGATAGAACAAAACGGACGAAGTTTTCGTCCAGAGAGTTCTCCTCTGTCGAGATACTCCTTAGGAATCCATTAAAAAATATTTGATTTAACTATATTTTGCGACCTGTGGCTTTTGATTTTTTTTAAGTCAATATTTGAGCTAGAATGCTCATCTTCGAACTCGATCTGTCTTATGATTGGCTCAGCGATTAGCGAAGTCCATCACTCCACTGACCTAAAAGGTTTCATTTATGTCTGTCTCCCAGTCAACAAAACATAGTACCGAACACATCCCTGGTACAACCCGGTTGGGATGTGGGACGTCCCATCCAGGACGTCCCACAGTACTACAGAATGCAACATTTTTTAGACTCTGAGCAGAAGCACCTCCCACTAGTACGTCCTGAGTGGGAGGTGATTGTCACATCCCGGAAGGAACTTTCCCAGGATGAACTTTCAGGACCTGACCATCATTTTATTTAAAACAATATGACAATATTCAAAAGTCAAGTGAGGTTCGATGAGTTTCTTATTTGAGCCTGAATTTTAATTATCCAGAAGCAGGTCCCGGAGAACTCGGTCAAGGTTGACAGAGTTCACAAAATTTATTTGCGGCAGTTATGTGATGTGTCACTTGACCATAATTACACCTCATACTTGGCGAGGAGTCTATAAGAGAGGTATGCGGGTGATCCGTGAGATTTAAATTAGACATCACATAAAATCTGAAATTGTGCATGCAAGTGAACATTGGTAGTGCAATTCGACTTCATGCCCCTTGCTTTATACGCAAATAACGTAACTTTTCAAAATACGTATTATTCCCTACATTTTAACGCAAAAATGATAAAACCTACGAGGATCGCGTCGCTAGCGCCGACTGTCGGCAAAATATAGCACGGCTCACGTCTGCCACTGGCACTGGCATACCAAAGACCTCCCGCAGCAGATGTATACAGGATGTTCATCATCCTGCTAGTCTCCCTAACCTCGATATCCCGAGCAGGTTCTATCTAGTAATTCCTGGTGACATTCATACTGGTATATCCCTAGCAGATGCATACGTAACGTCTTTTCTAAAGACATGCTGGTCAGCAGCCTGACTGAACGCCCCGAGGAGCAGTCCAACGGGTGCCCCTGAGGAGGTACTCGTATGTTACGTCCGGCCTGATGACATGCTCAGTAGGTCCTCGGCGGGACACCCCAAGGAGCTTTACGGCAGGTATATCCTGAGGAGTAACTTCTCAGTAGCTTAACTCCAAAGTACCTCCCAATCAGATCCCGGCCAAGATGTCCATGTGGTCGTGTTGTGCAACACATCCTGATTTGCTCTAAGGCATGTATTTTTGGGATGTCCCGGTAGCACGTGTGAGGGATTCGTGTAGGATGATCCCAAACTCCTCTCAAAAGTAAGTGGGAGCTGCTTTGTTGACTGGATCTGACCGTACGATAATTCGAGAGCGAATTGAAATAGCGATCTGGCAATGTCAGGGTCCAAAGTGGGTGTCTGTTTATTCCCCTCTTCCTAGACATAACATATGGGGACGAGACTGTGTCAAAACCTGTACTATGTATTTTGTGTTTTGGGGGTGTACCGAACTCGTCCGGGAAGTGTGTGGGATTAGGAAGGGAAGGTGCGTTAGATCACAGTAGAATCGCCGGCCAGTGGAGTTAGGTCAGATTTGACTCAAGCCAGAGAGGGGCAGCAAAATGGTCCTAACGAGGAAAGCCGCTGCCGTGAGCACTAAAAAGGCTCAAAGGTGGTTGTGATCACGAGGCAGGCCAAGCGGCAGTGATCGACGAGGCTTTACGGCGGATGCGGAGTGCAAACAGGCTTTCCTAACTTGTTCGGACAAGAGGCTGTACCGGCTGTTGGTGGCGTAGTGTCAGCCCTAGGTGCTGGAGGGCGCCACGGTTAGTTTTAGGAAAATTCTGCCGAAACTGGACGAGCATTTTGAGGAGGACATATCGGAGGTCATGACAGAGCATTTATTTGAGCAAAGAAGGCAGAAGCCGGGTGAGTCTGCGGCCGAATGGGTCGTGGACCTCCAACAGCTCGCCATTCCGTGCAATTTTGCGGATCTTGACCGCCGCCTCCGCGCGCAGTTGGTGCGTGGGGTGGCGGACAAGGACTCCCAAGTAAAGCTGCTAGAGGCCCCAGATGTGAAATAAGCCGTCAAAATCATTCAGGTGTACAACAGGGTTGTTAACGTTACTTTGAAAACGTAACGCGTTAAAAGTTACTCGTTACTTAAAATTTGTAACGACAACGCGTTACCGTTACCGCCCCAACGGAATTGTAACGCGTTATCGTTACATAACGTCCGTTACGTCGTTACTCGTTACATCACTTACAAATCAAAGAAAGGCATTCTTTTAAGAATAAAACATGCTTATTAAAGCAATGACTGTTAACAATAGGGTTGAACTGATCTATGGCTTCCAAAATTCGCCAAGCTCGTGGTAGCTCCTTCCTCTTTGTCGGGCTCTCTACAATAGACCATTTCAGTGTCGGTGACAAGAAGAAGAAAATAATAACCGAAACAGGAAACAGTTGGGCGAGGGGCGAAGAGGGACGGAGGGTGGGGCACTGGTGTAAATATCACCAGGATTTCCTGATCGCAGTGCCCTGATTCCTAATCGTATCCAAGGTTTCTGATGGTTTTCTCGGTTTCTGATGGTTATTTTCTGATCGTTCCCTCAAAACCTAATGGTACTAGCTATATGTACGCCAGACCACGTCTCGCGTAACAGGCTTCGCGTTATATCACGAAA